TATAATTGAAGTTCTGACAGAATTACTGATCAGCTGAAGAGGTCATATGTTGGGGTTGTGTCCTTGTAATCACAGAAGACTGTGGACAACATCAGTATCTAAACAAGATGTTGCTTATGGGCCAAGTGGTGAGACTGCCACAGGCTGCCCCAGTTCTGCTCTGAGGGTGAAATGATGGCTGTTGTATGGGCCTGATGCCACTTCTAAGTCCTACCCCTCAACAGATGAGAAAGCAGTAACTTAGGACGCATGAGCTCAGCAAAGGATTTTCTTAGCCACACCGCTGTCAAACCTTGCGAAAGCTTAGTGAAAACATAGCTCTGTAGAAGTTGGACCATGTTTTATAGCTGCCTTTGGTACCTTCTCAGATTCATACATTGTGAGTTGAACTTAATGAGACATGTAGTCTGGTCCTCAGCATTACACATTGCCCCTGCTTTTGCTTGTAGAACAATTTTTCTCTTTTCCCCAAAACAGCCCCATCCACCTATTTTGTCCCATTTTTTTTCTCCTGGGGAGTCTGCAGTCTGCAATCCCCCAAGTCTCAAGTCAGAAGCATCTCCTGGGGCGATCCTCGACTTCTCCTGGCAGCTCCCCAAGGGGATGCTGCCCACCCAAGTTTGGTTTCCAGTGACGACTTCTGAAGGTTACCGATTCAGAAGGGAGGCTGGAAACATGTAGCCTCTATGATATATATTTGCAAATCTTTGCTGTCAGGCAAGGACAAGGTATGAGGAGCCACAAGGATTTGGGCCCGAGGAAGCTGTAGCAGCTTCTAATGAGTGTGATCAGCTGCCCTGAACCCAGACTACCTGGAGCCTTTGATGCAGCTCCGCCTGATTAGGGATGGTCAAGCACCCTTTAGCTGTGCTTGAGAGGGATCCTTGATTGCACTAGACAAAGTATTGCCAGCAAGTCAAGGGAAGTGATCCTTCCCCGTTATTGAGTACTGCTGAGGACACACCTGGAGCGCTGTGTTCAGTTCTGGATGTCCCTTCCATGGGGTGTAGTCCTTCAGGCACAGACTGCTCCAGAGGGGGTCCCCCATGGGATCACAAGTCCTGCCAGCAAACCTGCTCCAGTATGGGCTTCTCTCTCCACGGGTTCACAGGCCCTGCCAGGAGCCTGCTCCAGCCTGGGCTTCCCATGGGGTCACAGCCTCCTTCAGACATCTGCCTTCTCCGGCGTGGGGTCCTCCCTGGCTGCAGGTAGATCTTTGGTCCCCTGCATGTGTGCAGGGGAACAGCTGCCTCACCACGGGCTGCAGGAGAATCTCTGCTCCAGCGCCTGGAGCACTTCCTCCACTCCTTCACTGGCCTTGGGGTCTGCAGAGTTGTTTCTCACCCCCCTCCAAAACCTTGCCACACAAACCCAATACAGGTCTATTTGCCAAGTGGAGGAGTAATGGATAGCGAGCTTGAAGCCTCTGCTGCCCTGCAGGACCGTTATCCTATCCTGCTCAGCCCGCAGGCCTCAGTAAACTGATGAGTAAACCAAAACCTAATAAAAAATATGAAAACCTAGCCTGTATTGCTAGCCTTGCACAAAAATGACAACCCTCCTAAAGCTGCAAATAACTGTAACATTTTGCATTTTTTTTTTCAGAGCTTTCCAAGGATTATTGCTTTTGGATTTTTCCTGGTAACAGGAGCTAGAAATAGATCTGATTCTTTTTTTTTTTCTTTTTTTTTTTTTTTTCCCGTTGAACCTGTGATAATGAAATAAATCATTTGCTATCAGGAAATGGAGCTTTATAGAGAAACTTTTTCAGCAGCATAGTAAAATCATGACATTTGGTTAGGTTTCGGATTGTTCCAGTGACAATATCTGGTAGTTACAGTACATTCACATCTGAAACTGCTGTTATGCCCCTGGTCAATAGCAGTGGGTTTACTGGAAATAACTCTGCCTTCCACAGTTTTCTCTTTGTTCTGCACTGGTGTTGAAGTGTCTTATTAGGGGTGAAACGTAAAAGTATATCTCAAACACTGTTCATCCAGGCTCACTGAAATTAAAGATTGTTGACTCTCATAAGCCAGTTTTCAGAGAAGGAAACCTGAATTTCCTTCTTGAGGAAAGGTTTGCCACTGGAGACTTGTTAATGTGTTGTATTCTTGTAGAAAACTGCGTGCAAATCCTGTTGGTGAGGCATTTTATTATTTTTATGGTAGATTCATTTAAATACAGGTTTTCTGTTGGTTTAAGATGAAAGCAATTTTACTGAAAACTGTGTTTATTTCATAAAATATCCATCTAACTCCAAAAACTGGTGCTTTGGTGAAAGGGGTTGTTTTTGTTTATTCATAAATCAACAAAATTTGGGAAGGCAATTTTGTGAATAGCAGTGGATTTCATCGCTGAAGTCTGGGATTAGAGACTTCTCTTGTGCAGAACAAAACAAATGTTTTTTTTTACAAGATGATGCTGGGCTTCTGAACAGCACTAAAAACATTTTAAAGTTGCTGAATTCCAGGTTTAGGATTAATTTGTTGAAAACTTACTTTAGCTTTCAGGAATACTGAGAAAGAAGCCATAAATGTATCTTAATTAATGAAATCTGACTCAGCAATGTTTTTATTATAGGTTTATCACTGATTTTATCCAGGCGGACTAAAAGCAGTGCTGGCTGGGGAAACTGTCGTTCCTTCCCCCATTAATTTTCCAACTCCTCCCACAAAATATGAAGAAATGGGGATTCATCACCCCTGTCAACTTGCAGCAGGATGCCATCATTGCTGCTGAATAATAAATGCATGTTTGTAAATTCTTTTTGCTACCTTGAGCTCTTACTAGGTAATGATTTTTTTCCTCAGTCTGTATATAAAGCAGACCCTAACAGATGATTTACATAATATGGATATTAACATTTTCTTGACAGATGACCCATAGACCATGCTGGTTTGCTTCAAATCATCAATAGGGTTAGTGGAAAGATCTGCTTCTCCCTTGGGGGTTTACAGAGAGCCACATCCTGCCTTGGTGTTGCTCTTCTTGTTTGTACGACTTGATGTTGGTTAAAGACTAAATGACCCCACTGATGTATGATGGCAAAGATGTGACATTGGCCCAACACATAGCTTTTGTGCAAGGAGAGCTGATTCATATTTGCTTTTCTTAATACCACTTTGGGTACCTCTAAAGGAAAGTAATTAGTGTGACTGCTCTTGACCCATTGATTCACTGAGGCCATATATTATGTCCATGTATCCTAGACAGGGCATTACTTTCTTCAGAATGAAGGGTGGCCCGTATAGGATGGGGAAATAGCGGAGCCTCCAATAGAGCCGATGCTTTTCCTTGTCTGTTGTCATGGAGAATAGTCTTGAGAGAGAGAAAGGCAATGGCAGAAAAAAAAAAAGGATAAAAATTAAAAAGGAAAAAAGAATACATGATGATTAAGCAGGAGTCTGGGATTATTCATTCCTGGTAAAAGAGTCTGGGATTATTCATTCCTGGTAAAACCTCCCACAAGTGTATTGTTCAGGTCACCTCAAATAGGCACCAGATAAGCCCGTGACTGCAATATGCAGGTCTGCGCTCTGATACATGCTGCAAAGGTCACTGGTTAGAGAAAGTTCTAGCTCTTGTAAATACTAGTGGCAGTGGACTCTTCTACTAGTATTTCCACACGGTGTAGCTTTACTCACCTTTAATTTGCCTGTGAGAAAAGCCCTCAGATCCTTCAAGAATAATATGAAATGGGGTTTTGTTTTCCTGAGAAACTGGCTGGCTTGGCAGAGGGGCTGTATTAGGGATGTTCATAGCATAGCTCTGCGGCAGATCAGGTAGTTACTGGCTTTGCATAGCAACATTGTGTCCGAGCATATTAATTCATACATCACTTTATATCCAGCATTTGTCATCCAGAGGCTTCAAAACCTTCCTAAAAATAGAAAAAGGTGAATGCTTTTGTTCCCATGCCAGAGCTGGGAAAGTTGGGGCAAAGAGAAGTCAAGTGCTTTGTCCACAATTGCATGACCAACCAGCCTGTCTGGGAAGAATTTACTTTGAACGCCAGACCTTGTGTTTCTCATGACCTCTTCTTTCAGTCTGTGATCTTCTGTTTTTGTTTCATTTTCTATGTGTTTATGTGGGATGAAATATATAGACTGCAAATGAGTAAATATAATTCAATCATGTTATTTTTGCAGTGACTAAAACTCTCATATATGGCATGGCAAGCTTCTGGCATATTTATGTTTTACAGTTTGGATAATCAGCCAGGTTTGTGTAATTTATTTTTTTAATAAGTATTATGAAACTCTTATGTAGGAGGAAATACACTTTCTGCACTAAATAAAAAAAAAAAAGGATTGGGATATCCTTTTTTTTTTTTTTTTTTTCCCTTGTCTCAGGATTGCTTGGAACAAGCTAAAGGTCAATCAAACACCTGGCATGTATTTTTAATCTCCCCATGTTTGTAAATCTTCCTCATGGAGTGTAATAAGCATTGAAATGCTGGAGTTCTATTTTTTAACTTCTGAACACACAATACTATTCAGGCAAACACGTAGCAAAGTAGAAGCTGCCTGTGGGTGTGAAACAGGAAGCACAAGTAGATAGACACGTGTATAATAGAGTTATGTTTGCTCTTGCTCAACTAGATCTACATCAATTTTAATTAACACGTTTTATGCTTCAGCTACTAACGTCCCTTCAGCAGCGAGCGGGTTATGTGTTTTCATCCTGCATATACCACCAGCATCACCACCACGTCCTTCCCTAGCTTCCCCCTCCCCTTTCTACACAAATGTTGCAACACAATCTGAAATTTCCTCTTTTCTTTCCTTCCTGCATTTCTTACAGGTTCCCTTGCGTCAGAAGACAAAAAAGAAAAGTCAAGGTAATGAGAGATTGTTTTCTCTTTTCTCTTCTGGGTTCCTCTTTTGTAAATTTCTTCTTATGTCTAATTCTTGGGAGGGTGAGGATTTTATACTGCTACTCAGCTGGTAGAAGGCTGCTTTTTAACTCCACTGATTCTTGCACTGATTCTGAGAAAAATGACAACAGGCTGTTCCTTTGGACTAAATCCTTGCGGTATGTTAATTGAATCAAAGCTGGAAATCCGTGAGGTAGAATCAGCTGCCTGTACATACACACGCACTAGCGGTTTTCATGTACTGGCATAATAGTTTTCTCTAGCTGACTTAAATAGATGTATTCTTTTCAGTGCAGCTGTGTGAAGGGAAATACATGCATGTTTCTCTTAAAAGGATCAAAGGATATTTTTCAATTTACAAAAACTCGTGTATGGTTATCTTAGCATTAATTAGTGTCTGCTTTATCTATAGCTTACTACTTTGTATCTGCACATCAGAATGCTTTTTAAATGAATGTGTGCTACTGTCACAGCCATTATAAAACTGAATGACTTCCGAGCATATCTTAAAATATACTTAGGTGACTTGCTGAGATTGCTAAGTAATGTTGATACCTTTAATTGGCAGCAACATCTTTCCTGGTAATGCACTTTTAAACAAGCAGAAAACTGTCTTTTTAATGGCATAGGGTTCTTTATAATGAGTCGACGGAGGATATCGTGCAAAGAGCTGGGGCAAGCAGATTGCCAAGGATGGCTCTACAAAAAGAAGGAAAAAGGAGCTTTCATTGGCAACAAATGGAAAAAGTTCTGGTGTGTGCTGAAGGAGTCCTCGCTGTATTGGTACAGCAGTCAGCTGGTGAGTACAGCCTCCATCCAGCTCTGGGTGCTGAATAAACAGCATTTGCTGGGACCGAGGGAAGAGGAACTGGGGTCACAATTTAAATGCACCCTGGAGATGTACAAATGTCTGGGTTTATTTTTCAGCCCTGACATTTCTTGTAATCTGGGAAGCATCTATAGGAATGTGAAACATGCAGAAAACTATGTGTTTTCTAGTTCAGTAAGTACTCGAGAAATGTTAACTTGCTGTCTGTTCTGCCCTTTAAAGAGCTGCTCTTTACAGGGACTGGTGGCATTTGAATTTGCGAATGGTCTTCCTGGGCTGGGCACTTTGCAGACACTCGCTATCAAGACTCAAAACAGGAATGCTTCTTTATTCCTAATTAGTTTAATTTTAAGAAATGTCTCTCCTGCTTCTCTTTCTGTCCCCTTCCACACTGAGATAATTCTGTTTCTTTGTTTGCTTTTTTGTTTGGGTTTTTTCCTTTCTTTTTTTCCCCCCCAGTTTTCACATTTAGGATTGCAGATATGAGCACTGTCAGTTGGTGAAGTTTTTACTACTGGTCTTGCTGATGTCTCATCCAGAGCATTGTAATTAAAGGTTCCCATGTTCTGCTGATTTTTAACTTCCTGCTCTGATGACTCAATGCTAAAAAGTCAAATCTGAAAGAGGACAGAGCGCTTCAAATTCAAGGTCCAGCTTTCTGTTTAGAAGATGAGCTTTCCTCAGGACAGCCAGTACAGATAGCTTTTCTCCCGCAGCTGGTCCAGCCCAAGTAGCCTACTCCACTTCCAGTGCAAGTGGGAAATCGTCTGAGACAAAGAACAGCAGGCCCTGAACGCCTGTAATCAATTGAAGAAACTACGAATTGAAAGCTGAAAAAGGGGTGGGGGGAAGACATAATGAGACATCCGAAGTAACCCTTTTAATGAAAGGTTATGGATGAGTGCAAAGAAGCACTGAGTCCTAGAGAACAGCTGGTTTTGTTCCTGGCTGTTTGCTACCTCTCAGCTTGATTGGGCAGAGAGCATGGCTTGCGTGTCCTGGGAAGATTCAGACATAACTATTCCCTTCACTTTGCTGTCTTGAACTGCTACCTGTAAAAAAGCTTCTGCCACGTTCAAATGAGGGACTGACAAAGCTCAGAATCGGGGTGTGCAGAGGATTAGGGGATGCTAGCAATGACACAGGTTGAAACTTAGCTGCTTGAGTGTGGAATTTTGGATGGGCATCAGGTTTCCTAAATGCAAATGGACTGCTCTGGAAATTAGTATGTCCCAGACCCAGCAAAGGAAAAAATATTAAAGAAAAGCTTATTAAATCTTAGAACATTTTAAGAAATTAAATGCAATCTGGATTGTTTCCTCTTGTTTAATTCTATTGCAGTAATCCCCATTAAAGTCTTTCTACCTGTTTCAGGGAATAAATGAAACAGTTTAAACCATTAAAAAAGAATCCCAAAACCCTAAACAGAACTTTACTCATCTAAAGAGCATTTCACATTCTCCCTTCACTTGTGGGTACAGTGTTGGCTTTTTGTTAACAGAATAAAAACTTTGGTATTAGCTATTCTTTTTGGGGAGAAAGTGAAAACAACTCTGCTGGCCTTGGGCTGTTGTTTTTTGTGGCAGCCTGATTTAGCTTCCTTTCAAGACCAAGTCAAATAACATGCATGAGAGAAAGAAAAGAGAGAAAATAAATAGGAAAAAATGTGTGTGGGGGGATGGGGCACAGAGATAAATAAAAGGCCTTGTTTTCCTAATGCTTACAATATCTCTACTTGAAAGACATGGCCTGGCAGATATACCCACTGGTGTAATTAATACCCTGTAAACCCTTATTAACATTGACTGCTCTAAATCTCTGGTTGCGGTTGTACTTCTGGCCAAACAGTGTTAAGAAAGGTGAGCTGGCTGGCTGATGTGCCTTTTAGACATGGGAAGTGTCAGAGAGGAATTATTCTGAGGACTAAGCAAGCTGGGAGGAAATAAAACAAGGAAAGACCAGGCAAAGTTTGCTTTCCAGGAAGAGAAGGGTGGTGGGGGAGAAGTGCAAAGCACTGTGCTTCCTTTAGTTGCTGTGGCCTGGCTAAATTCCCCTCTTGGGATCCAGAGAAGCCATGGCCATGCTGATCCCAGTGCTCCTAGACATTATTCTTCATTTGGGTTAACTCATCCTTTTAGTCCATGCCTGCTTTCTGGCTGTTGCTGACTGCCTCAAAATGAACAAAGCTGAAGAGCAGGTTGCAGACTCATTCTGTACGTGTATTCCATATGTTCTGAAGAGCTCATACAGCTTCAAAATACTCGTGGCTTATGCCAGCCCTGACTTCTCACCTATCACAGTTCTTGTAAACATGCTAGCTGGTAGCATCTCTTTGTTTTCAAATTCTGCTGACACTCTCACACCTTGTTACTTTAAAAACCTGAGGTTTCTTTGGACAACTTAAAGTGCAGCCTCTGCACAACTGTAGATTTGGGCAATGTTTGCAGAATGGCAGTGACTACGGGGTGTGGGAAGGAGAGGAGGTGTCCTTTGCTAAGATCTGTTTACTTACATTGATGACACCAGAGCCATGCTCCAGGGTTGTATCTGAGATGAGTTAGATGCGTTGTGTTTTCATAGATATTTTCACCTTTAGACTGATGAAGCAGTAATAGCAGAGATGTATTCACTGGCTTGCTTGATATTTCTTTTTACTTCTGTATTTGGCCTGGCTTTAATACTGCCTGCACTTCCACTGCCTTCGGTGGAGTTAATCTTTGCTCCCAACAGGGCATCCAAGATGGAAACCTTAAGTTCTTCCCAGTTGTGATGAAAGAGGAGGAGCACTGCTCCTGACATGCCTGAAGCTTCCTGTGACAGCTCCTCTTTGAGGCTGAAGCAAAAGGTGGTGGTGGAGGAGCGGGGCTGAGGTTGAAGGAACTGGGGCACACTGGCTGCCTGTAGCTCTGCCTGACCAGTTTCCTTCTTGTGAGAAATTAGCATGTTTTGTTCATGGCTGTGTGGAAACTGCAGTCAACCAGACACTGGCAACTGTAGCATAGCAACGGGGTGCTGGACCTAACCTTTTTTTTTTCTAATGGAGATGGAGAAAATAGGGAGTGGGTGGAATTTGTATGGGAACATGCATTGTCCTGTATTTGGGTAGGTAACCTCAGCTGACATCATCTTCTCAGTGAAGTGTGTCATCAGGCGCCTCTGAAGCTCTGGATGTTTCTGTTGCTCAGATTTAATTTGCCTTCAAGCCACTCTGGTTCTGGGTCTTGCACCAGCAGCAGATTGGGAGAGGCAATATAAGACACTTGTGGTGATGTTTGCAGACAGTAGTTCTTTCAGTTTAACATGAAATACATTGGAAAAGCCACAGCTGAAAAGAGGAAAAAAGAAATCCTGAGAAGGGTCAGCAATAGCAGATTAGGCACCCTGAGAGTCAAGCTTCTCCTTCACTGACAGCAAACCAGAGAACACAGGTAAATCCAGATTAGCTTTTGACTGGCTAGCTGAGGTACTGGGAGTGCTGAAGTTAGGGCCCCGGTGGTCTCAGCAGCCTTGGGTAGACTGCCCTCAAACCTCTTCCCATGTGCACTTTTTGTATAAAACATGCATACCGTATGAGGCAGGTAAACTTTTTTGCAGCATGGCTGCACCCCCAGTCTGGCAAGAGAAAACTGTTCAGACTAGGAAGAAACACAGAAGGGTTGGTTTTCACAGTAATTCAGAAAATGGATCCAAGCAGTCAGACTTTCTAGTTGCATTCAGGAACCCCGGACTCTTTGGACAACTGCTCTTCATTGATGTTTGATTCCCTCTTTCGAGTACTGCTCTCAGCAGGCAGCTGTCTTGACAAATACTTAAAGAGGACAGTGTGATCCTGCCAGCCCCTTTAGCAGTTTTAATTCTTGTACCGAAACTCTGGAAGGAATCAGTACTTCTGCATAGGAAGAGGAGTGGTGGGGGGGAGATCATCCACATGTAACCCAGGCTCCTGCCTCCTTGTGCTTGTTGTGACTGTGTTGGATAGTGATGGCTGGAAAGGGACAGGACTAAATGCCTTTGTCTCATGGGCCTTTAGGATAGCTGGCTGGTTTCCAAGCAGAGTTGAAATACAGTTTTGCAGGACGTGTTAACGACGGTTGTCATGGGGATTCATCTGAAAAAAAAAAAAAATCAAAGGGTTGCAGGCTGTGATCTACTGTCACTATTTATCTTTTTTTTTTTTTTCTCCTTGTTTGCTGCATTTAAATTGTTCCTCATTCTTACAGCTTTTCCAGGAGCTGTATAATTGCAGTCTTTTAAAACAGAAACCTTTTCACCTTTGAGTTATAGTTGCTGGTTACGTAAATGATAAAGTCATTGATGTTGGTTGATTGTGCTGAGGGCTTTGGGGACCTCTGGTCCAATATGTTACACTAATTGTTCACAGTTCTATAGGTTGTCTCACTGTACTTGGTTGAGAGAAAAAAGACTAACAAGTCTTGAGGACTGAACTGCTTCTGGGGCAGTACTGAAACACTGTGGTGAAGCAATCAGGAGTACCCTGAATTGCAGATTGGAGCTGTTCCACAATAACTAGATATTTTCACTCTACAGCACTATTTTTAAAAATTTTTCTTCATCATTACGTTCAGTTTAAATATTGAAAAAAGTCTATTAAATTATTCACTAAATCTCCTAAAGCCACAGAATTTAGACAGTGTATTGAGGTAAGCTAAAAAGGACAGTAGCTTCTTTCATTGGATTTATGCATTACATTTCATAAATATGTTTGAATTTTTTTGAGTGAAAAGCTTTTTCTGTGGAAAAAGTGGTTACTTTCTTTTTTGCCCCAGCATTTGCAGAGACTGTTATTATTGAAATTATTTTCCTACAAATGGGCATAGCAAAAAAGTGCAGATTTATATGTTAGGCTAACCTGCATAAAAGCCGCAAGAGATAACAGCTTATTCTTTTAAACATCCTGGTTAAATAGGAAATGGGTCAAGGTTCTTTTAATCTAAGTTTTTTAGAGCTATTTTACAGCTTTGCAATAAAATCTGAAGGAAGTTTGAGTGAAATGTGTGAGTTAAGTAATAGCATGCTTAAAATCATGTTAAAGATAACATTTCAGAGAAAAGAAAACACTTAGGATTTCTATACATTCTTAATGTTTTAAAATGTCGTTTTTATCCCAGTAATGACTAAACAGATGACTTCCACATGTTCTGTTCCTAGTGTTCATCTGGAATTCTATTTGCTGACTGTAATAATGTTCATAAGATTTCTAAACTTCTGAAGTTCCTAAACTTCACACCATTATCCCCCTTCCTTTCACTCATACATAAAATGAAACATTAACTTTTTCTTATAAATGAGCAAATGTGAAATCACTGACAGAATTAATATAAACCCGGAACATGCTGAACATAATATTTTATCAACTGGAACATGCCAAATACTGCATAAGAAATCTGGAGATTTCCTTGTTGTAAAACTGGTAAATGTAAATTGCTGAAATCAAAGCCTACAGCCCTATTTCCATTAGCAATTTAGAGAGAATTCCTCTAATTTAGTTACTCATTGGATATGTGAGTGGTTCAAGTCCAAGTTCCTTCTCTGCATGGGTAGAAGCATCCCAGGTGAATGTCCCCACACTGGCGTACAGGATCCTGATAATTCAATAGCCCAATACGAAACATGAATGATCAAATATTTGTATAAAGTTAAAATGAATTGATGGCAGAGGCAGTGACTTATCTAATGGCATTGCATGGACTTAATGTCCTCATGAGTGTCTGTGCAGCACCCTAAGCAATTTATAGGACACAGTCTAGATCAATGGCCAGTGTACCAGTAGATGAAACTGGCTGAGCTGTGATTGCAGGTGTAATGTGCAAGGCCAAGAACTACCCCAAACCCTAGTCACCCACTCACCCACCTGATGGTTTACCTGGCTCAGGCCATGGGTTTATTGTTGTTTGGGTGAGAAGGTACCTGGGTATATTCCTTTTTTTTTTTTTTTTTTTTAAACTGGGCTTATTGATTGTTGCTGCAGAGAAACAACTGGCATTGTATACATTTCTCATGCAGCAATGGGTGTAATAGTGGCTTTGATACCGCATGAACTGCTTTTTTGAGATTGGTTTCTGGTGTTCTTAGACTGGTCTTGAGAACCAAACAGGAATTTCAGTGTTCTTGCTGCACTTGTTCTAGTAAGTGATCGCTCTTTTTGGTATAGAAATGCAGGCTAGTTCGTTCTCTATCTTTAGTGCAATGCAGCCCATGAATAAAGCTCCTCCTTTTTCACCCCTACTCATTTGATCATCCCTATATACTTAGTGTACTATGAATCTGGGATGGAAATACTAGCTCAAGGTCTAATAGATTGAAACACATGCCCCCCCGGCTTTAAAAAAATCTTTTTAGTTTTTTATTCTTTAGTTAATTGCTATTTTGTCTCGGTGAGTTTAGCTTCACTAAATTCCAACCTTTCGAATGGAAACAAAAGCTCCCCAAGCCAGGCTCTAAACAAGCTTGACAGGTACAAATATAATCAGAGAAAGTTAAAAACACAAAACTGTAAATACACATATTTCTGTACAAATGAATGCACATTGCAAAATCAAAATTTATTTTATCCCAGATGATAATAAGCATTATTGTTTCTTCTGTACTGAAAGAAAATTTTAAAACCCCAACCCTTCTACCACTTTTTTTTTTTTTTTTTCTCCTGGTGCAGGCAAAAGCATTTACTTGTGAACATTGAAAATATAAACCTCTCCTATGAATATTTAATACATGTAAGCTGCAGGAATGATGGTTATGCTATGGTTTATTGTATATCAAAGAAAAGATATGCAGAGGTGCAGGGAAGCCACCCATGGAAAAATTCATTCTGTATCCGTATTTCTGTTCTCAGAGATCCATACTTCCAAGCATTAAAGCTCAAAGAAGTGTCTCGATGAACATCTTTTTTTAGTCCCTTCAATTCACGCATAATGTGACTTGAGATGCTGTCAGTCATCTTCATTTATCCTCTGTCTTTGTAATTGTGTGTATTTTACCTGCTTTAACTCAGTGTACGTTTTCAGAATTTTAATGTGCCCAGGGATAAGGGCTGCAAGCAACAAAAAAGTGATTCAGGAATAAGCACTTCATTTATTTTGGGAGGTACAGTTTTCCCTGACATTATGTGCTACAGACTCTTGTCTACATTGTTGCTCCTCTTAGGAGGAGTCCTAGTCTTACTGGAGCTGATCAAGTGAACGGAGATAGGTGTAACAAAGGAAGATGTTTCAGCTGCAGGCAGCAAGAACAGGGATTTGAGGATAACTGCTAACTTCAGTTTTGCTGGAGCTGCTCTCTGACAGAGTCCAGCTGACCCAGAACAGAGATGCCAATGCTCAGTAAGCCCTCCCCTATCCAGAAAGGGGTGACTGCATATAAACAGTGTGCTGTAAATGTCTGCCTGGCTTTTGCTATCTCCTGTACCATGCCTGTAAATTTTTGTGAGTGGGGGGGAGGGGAGGTGATAGCTGGGTGGCCAAAGCCACCTGAGGCTGGTTTGCAGTGTTCAACAACAGAGCTCATCTGTGTGGGACCAGCCCCTCGCACCATTTCACCTTCTGGTGTGGGAGCAGCCCGTATTGCCTCTGCCTTGCTCGTGTACAGGCGTATATAGGTGATGCTATGAAATGGTCCATGGTAGAGTTACCTGGCGGACACCCTTCATCTCTTCCTAGGATCATTTTGGGTTGCTTTTGAATTCCCATTGCTATAGACATGTATTTTTCAAATATACATCAGTAAATGTGGTGCTGTATAATGGAACAAGTGCTCCTTTAAGGTTGTATATAACATCCAGACCCTTATTTGTTCTCTCTTATGTCATCTGCCTCTTTTGAGAGGCTCCTGATTTTAGAGCTGAGGGTCAGCAGTTTCTTCTTCTGTGGTCTATGAACAAAGCATGCTGGTCTCTTTGTCAAAAGAAGTTGTGTGATCTCTGATGGCTGCAAAGGAACTGGGTTCCTCCACTTTCTCACTGTTTTTAGTCCTGGTTTGATCCAAACCTAAATTTTGTCCTTGGCAATTTCAGATTTATACCTTAATCACAAATACTAGATAAGGGTGCTCTGATACAAATGCTTTGAGGTGAGGAGCAGGGGGAATCTACCTCAGCACTATTGTAGGAGTTGAGGATCCTTCCTCTTTCCAGGCACTTTGATATTTGGAAGCATACAACAGATCCTGTGCTCATACTCTGCCCCTTGCACAAACAGGAGTGGTGGCTTTCTGGCATCCAGGGCTTGCACAAACAGTAGCTGGTATAGGAATATTTCTTGTTCCCAAATATCAGCCAAAACATGGGGTGTTAATCTGTCCCCATGGTGATGTGCATATATTTTCACACTATAAAAAGCTGTCAAAAACCAAGCATTTGCATGTTAAATGTCTTTGAGCATTGGAGTCTGGTAGTTTACCAGTTGGTTGTGGTGACTTTAATTTTTTTTTTTTTAATTGCAGGCTGAAAAAGCAGAAGGATTCATCAGACTTACAGACTTCAGTGTGGACCGAGCCATTGAATGCAAAAAAAAGCAGTAAGTTTATCTCTTGCTCCCAATTTTGCATGATTTTTATAACGTTGCAAAGAATTGAATCTCAGCAGTGCCTGACAATGAAGCTATGGGGAGCTCCTCTGTGTTGTATAAATAATGAGATATTAATTGAGCTGCTGAAATAAAACCATATTGCAAAAATATTTTAGAAAATTCTCTGTCAAATGTGCCATGTTAAAACTACAAATAAAAAAGCAGATCAGTATGGCAAATGGGGTTTTTCTTCCTTCTCTCCATTCACTGATTACAAGTAAGACGTATTCTAACTTAGGTACCTTCTCTTGGGTGGGGAGGTCAACAGTGGTGCAAGCAATGCTGCTTCCCTCCTAGTTGGGACTATTCTTTAGCCTGCTGCCATGCAACTTCCTTTAGCAGGGTACAAATTTAAAATATTCTCTCCAAACTCTACAGGCAGCACTGACTTCCAGCTGCTTCTGAGTACACGTCAAAGGCTTGGAGGGATGTTGCTGCTGTTCAACAGTTGTAAAGCTCAGCATGGTTTTTACTCTGTCGCTCAAGAGAAAGCCTTCATTCTTCTGTTTGGGTCTCACACTGACATTAGCTGTAGGTGTTCTTGAGACTGTGGGGTTCTCCAAAGAAAGAGGATGGATATTTTGAATGAGGAGCTCCATTTTGTTTTCCCAGAAGAAAGGTTGAGTCACATATTGCAGGACCATGAGAAAATGTTGCCTGTCACTTCTGCAGCCATTGGCTGTCAGTGACTGTTAGGAAAATGTGAGCTCATCATTTATTTGGGATGGGGTAAGTTAGGAGAACTGTGAGGAGTGACCGAGACTAGTGTGTGTGCTTCTGTGGGACAGGGTCAGTCACCTAACAAGGAAGAAAAGAGGGAAGCCACAGTGTCTCAGGATTGTAGACTGCGTTTTAGGAAAAAAACCCTCTGAAAAGTCCTACTGACGGCTGTTCAAGTAAAGCATAGTCTGTGGCTGAGACTTACAGGTTAACTATTGGCATGTCAAGGGCCTACTGCCATTTTGTTTGTTTCAGACCTGCCCCTAGTTGCGTTTTTGGTGCCTCCTTAAACTTGTCTTGGAAAAGACAAGGAAGAGTCAGTCCCTATTCACCCACTGCATGCTGCTTGTGATTTTATTGTGTGTCCCTTCTCTCAACCATCAATTTTCCATGCTGTGGGGCCTTAGCCTCATGGAAGCTGTTCCATACCTTGGGTCACCCCTGGACCTTTCCCTGAACCTTCTCCAGGTTTACTATGCTTTTCTGAGCTGGGGGAAGCAAAGCTGCACACAGTATCTGAGATGTGGGCACACAACTGAATTATGTAATGGCATAATGAAAGTCTTTGTTTTATTCTTCATCCCTTCCTTTTTAGTTCCTGTAGTTTATACCCTCTAAATAATGTGTGGCCTAGGAAATGAGGTAAAAATAGACTACCGTTTTAAGGAAAGAGCTATATGGATGGATAAACTGATCTGGATTAATATAGTGGAGTGAATAAATGTTTTAAATCATTCATTCAGCTTTGTTTTCTTTTCTTATGTAAACTAGTTTTCTTCATATCTCTTCTATTTTTCTTTTCTTCAAGTGCTATTAAGATCAGCCACCCACAGATCAAGACGTTTTATTTTGCAGCAGAAAATATTCTGGAAATGAATACGTAAGTAGGAGCGACTGGCCATGTTTCATCCTGTTTCATGCCTGAGAACACCCTTTGAAAGTTCCTTCTCTCATTGTCAAGTGGTTGTTGATAACGTTATTTGGGGAATTACTGAGTCTGTTTTGTTCTCTGGTCATTGTAGAGAAGGAAGATGCTGTTTGTTAACTAATGACAGTTGAAATCAGAATCGCATCATTAGCCTGATTTTGATACTAATCTTTCCAACATTTGCTGGTATAAATCCCTTTCTGTTAGCAAGGCACAAAGGGTTGATAGCAAGTTCATCACCCTGGGAGAAGTGAGAGAATAAAGGAAAGAGGGAAAAGCTTAATATGGTTTTGTGCCAGAAGTGATCTAGGACTAGAATATAATATTGTCTGCTTTCAGAGTAGCATGTCTATTAACGAGGAGGGTTAAAGGGATAGAAAGGGCTGTTACTTTAATGTAAGTAAGTAGTTACTTCACCACCAAACTGTGTTGCAGTTAAGTGATCCTCATGACAGATGAGAATTTTCTTTCCACAAATGTCCTTAAGAGCAACAATTCATTCATGCAGTTTTTAATGCAAGAAGTAAAAAGGGATATGAAACTGCCATTTTAGAAATCCCTGAGCTATCACAAATAGATATTACTTGCTATTGATCCAGTTCTGTCTGATTTAGATACATCTCATATCTTTGTCTTTTTTACTTCAGGTTGCACTCTGTTCATAATGCTATTGCATTAAATGGCCTTATACTGGATACAAGGCAGTACAATTTAAATGGGAAGAGAGCTCCTATGACAGTCGGGTCAGGATTTTAATCGTGGCTCTGACGGTGACCTTTATGAGGTTCTTCACAGGGCATTGACTGTTCTTTTCCTCTGCAAAGAGGAGACCTCACGCGTATTTACTACAACAGAAAAGGATAGAGATTGAGAGAATGTGTGTGACCTTCCAAAAGGGCTACAGATACAGAAATGCATGATACAACACTAGTGTACGTACATATATATTCATAAATCTGTACTCTATGGATGCATACAAGAAAATATAGATGGAAAGGATGCGTTGTCCTTTGCAACTTGGAGCAGCACAGTGCATACTGGTGGGGAGATAACCATCTGTTTCTGTTTTGCTGCATTTCCTACTGGAGCTCCTGAATGGAGTGAGAAGTTCTTGAGGCAGATGTGCTGAGGATGACTGAGAATGAGGGACTGCTGGAAAGAAATATTTCTGTCAAGAGAGTAACCCTGGTTGAGAGAGAAGAGAGGGAAGGATGTAGGGAGAAGGAAAAGGAAAATTAGAGGTAATCTATGATATTAGTGAGTGCTAAAAACCAGTTTGGAGCCCAGCTGGAAATTCTCAGTGTCTTAATGACACTTTTGAAATGTTTAGTCTCATGTGAGAGAGTGATTGAAATCTGTGCAGGTGTCTCAGCTTTTATGGCCCCAGAATGATTTTCTTCAAACTCCACTTCTTGAGTAAATTTCATTTTGGCTTAAAGCTAAGTAGCCTAGAGTTAGAGCAGCTTGCATTATACTGCACTAATTCCTCACTGTTGTAACTGATGATGTTTTCCTTGGCAAAGTATAAAATACATGCATTTAATACATAAAGTACACGGATACTCACGCATTTGTCAAAACAGACTAAAAGACATCTGTTCTCTTGGCTGCAGTCCCGCCAATACACGTGCATGTGAGTGGTTCCACTGAACCCACTGGGGCATTTGCCTGTGTTGAGTTACTGGTGTGCATAAATGCTCGACGGATCATGACCTTTTGTAACTGTTCATGCATATATATATATATATTATACCAACAGTGCATTTATTAATACAGTCATTTGCTTCATTAATTTAGCATGTATTTGCCATTGTCATGCACACATGGAAAGTAAATGTCCTGTCTAGAAGCATGCATTTCCCTGGCCTGTTGCACATGGTTACTAGTGATCTGTCTGACCTTGTGGTTAATTAAGTCCTATATTTTTTAGCAAGCCTTTCATTTTGTTTAGTTTTTTTTAATTAAAAAAAAAATCTGTTATGATTAACTGTTAGAAGAAAGTCAATACTCCACTCTCACAGAAGTGATACTTTTTCTTCTTGAATTGTTATGTGGCTCTACTGTTCATACCGCAGTCTAAAAAACCAGTTACTTTAACACTGATTTTACTAGCAAATTTCCCTTTGTTTCAGTAGAATCAAGATCAGATGTAATATTTTTTCAGAGTTATGAATCTTAATTCCCACCCTTCATATATTCTCTGCTTAGGCCTTCAGTTTTAATTTGAAAGGCTTGAGCTTTTTTAGTTATTAGTTTCTTAAAACCTGGATAGATCTGCATGACCTACAGGCAAGCACAATATACAAAAAGTATATCCAGGGATTGTTTCTAGCACTAGAAAAATGCAGCCACCTAGGCAGAGAAACAAAAAAAAAAAAAAAAAAGCCTGTTAATATCTTAAAGCAACACAGGAAGTGAGACTTACTAAAACCAAAAGTGCACAGGGAGTTAAAGAAAGTGGTATATAATGGTTAGAAAGTCTAGATTCAAATGGCTTAGATCCTTAGACTGTGCTACAATAGCTTTGACCAAGGCAGCTGACATCATCTTCTATGGCTGCTGGGCCTTTTGCTTCATCTTAGGTGAAAGATGAAAACTCAACAGCAGGACTAAGCCACTGACATAGTGTTACAGCACGCATACATTTGCAACTCCTTGGTTATCAGTAGTGCTTTTTTCAGGATCAGGGAAAGATGTCCTGGGCAATTAGTCCTGCTCACAATGGGGAATATTAGTATTCTGGTAACTGGTGACTTTCTAGAAGATGTTCTAGGGAATAGGAGGAAACTTTGACATTTAATCTTCAGGTTAGTGAAAATAGATGTAGTAACAGAACACACCTGAAAGGGGCAAAACTCTGTCTGAACAGCATGCAAACATCCCTAATTCTGTATTCCCTCTGTTTCAAACACAGGTGGCTAAGTAAGCTGGGGATGGCTATAGACCCTCAGGCACCCAACGGGAAGAATGAGGAAGGTAGGCTCCTGGCTCCTAATGGTGGTTTCAGTGTGTAACTACATCGTGTTCGTCACAGTTTTTTGCTTGGCCATATTTTTGTCAGCTCTTTTCTTTCTTTTAAATTATCAACTTGGGTCTGTCTGCCAACTGAACTCGGAGAAACCACACTGACACTGCACAGAGTAATCACAGAAAAATAAACAATGGTGAGAAACAGTGCCACTGAGAGACACTCGGTGATCTTGTGAGAGGTGTGTAAGCACTTTCTGGCAGTTTGCTGGCTTGCTAAGCCTACCAAGTGTGAAGAGAAACAGCTGTGCTACTCTGGGTTTTCAGTTGATAAGTTATATTACAAGAGTTGTGCTATGGCACGGGAGCTTGATAGCTTGGGAACATCTTGTGCAATATAAACCTGTCCCTACTGTCTCCTCAATTTCTGGGGGTTTCAACAACAGCAATGTTGCGGGGGGGTGGGACTAGTAGTGGTGTACTGAAGCCTACAATTTCCTTCTGAGAAAAGTCCAAGAGTTCATTGTAGAATGAGTAATTTTAAAAGATAATTACCCCTTCATTTATTGTTTTAATTTGCACAAACACCTATCAGAATTTTTTGTTGAGAGAATACCTGCACTCAAATCACAAATCTGAGTAGAGGACAAAGCAAGTCACCTGTCAGAACACTTGGAAAAGCTGCTGGTGAGGACATATGTGATGGGAGCTGGTTTAGAAGAAGTGTTGTGGGCAGTACTGTGTTAGCAAACCAGGGATGGACTGTGACCTGAGGAATCTGTATCTTCTTCTGGGTTTTTGACCCTCCATTTTTAGAGTATTGGTGCTCAGTGCCTTTTTTAGAACTGCTCAGGTTGTGAAGGAGCTGGCATTATGAAGAAGAAACTGGTAGTTGTAGTAGTATGAACACTTAGGTGATGCAGTCATTTTGTCTAAGCACTGAAATGCTCATCTCTTCATCCCTTCTGCTGTTTCCCAGAATAAGGTTGTGGTTTATGTTCAGGCTTTGGACATGTAATGCCAATATTGATTAGTCTGATCTGGTTCTGTTTATACTCTGACTCCATTTATACTCTGCCATTAAAAGCAGCTTTGGGACTGGTAAACATGGATACCACCAATTTCTGGAGATTCATCAGGTCTCATAAATTTCTTTGTTTTCAGTTCAAGATTCCTCTTTGTTTCTTGTCTGGAAACTTGTTAACTTCCATACTCCCAAATTCCTGCAAAATGCTTACGTCCTCTTTGAACCCAATTTTGTATCAAAACAGTTAGAGATAATTAGGATAAAGGGCTATAGTATTTGGCTGTGTAGCAAGAACTGCATGGCAATTGCACTCAGGGAGGAAGTGTTCAAACATGCCCATGTTATCAAAAAAGAGAATTTTGATGGAAAATTAGGGTGGTCAAAATTCTATGCATCAAAACAATTTTTTAAAAATATATGAAAATGTAGTATTGGTTATGTTGGCTAAGTCAAGAATTATAAAACAATTCAAAATGAGTCAGCATGCTAATCTTAAAAAAAAAAAAAAAAAAAAAAAAGGAGAGAAAGATACAAGATAATCCACTCAATGACTTCTGTGGCAGGTTATCTAATTACCCTGCAATAAACATAACACAGCCACGACTTCGTCAGCTTTTGAAGCTGGTACCCCACTTCACCTTTGGAAAAAGGCATTCTGATTCCGATGTCAAACATCTCCTTGTCTTTCTATGCGTGTTTTGTCACAGGTGCTTCAGCAGCTTCCTTGAGTGTGGGGTCAGCAGCAACCCACC